GAAAAAAATGTCTTAAATATTAGAATGCTTTACCTTGACTCAACGAATATATTGGTCACAAATATTAAAATTAAATATTGCCCGCGGTCCTAGTTCCGTAAGAACACTAGAAGTTCCCAGGTATGGGCTGAACAGCCCTTGGTAAAAGTGAGTTTGGTCGTATTTTGAGATCTTTCCTGAAATTCACTTGGACATTACTGAGATCTTCAGCCCAGAGCCAGAGGGTATCATTTAGCAAGCTACTACAAGACTTACAGCTTCTGAAGACATAATTTAAACAAAGATTAGTTTGGGCACTGGAAGAATCGAGCTTTTTGGAGTTTACAATCTGACAAGCAGCAGCTAAGCCATGGAAAGATGAGAGTCTTGTGGGCACTTATCTGATGATTTTTAAAACAGGCAGCTGTATTAATTAAAATCATTAGTTGAAATCTTTCCATAAGACAGCAAGGCCTTCTGAAAACATTGCTTTTGGTTTCTCTACCTCCAAGATGTCAGTACTGAAAACAAACTTAGAAAAAATAAGAGGCAGTTTCATTCAGGGCATTGTACTTAAGGGGCCAGGCAGCTTTACACACACTGAGCTGCCGTCCCCAGGATGAAAGCTGCTGCTGTCAGTGCAGTAAAACTGAAGGGAGAGGGCAACGGCGCAATAGGTATGCCTGCCCATTAGCGGTAGGAGGGCTTGAGCTTCAGAGACATTCCACTCTTTCAGTAACAAAATTCTGTGATGTTTTGGTTTTATCATTATGAACTAGGGGTGCAAGGGAAAGAGGGAAAGGGGCCAAGGCTTTTAGCCCTGCTGTGGAATGCTGTGTCTGTCCAGGCAAAGCCTGCCCCTCGCCAGCTGGATAGGTTCCCTCCCTTCTACCCTCACTAGTCTCAGCTAGCAAGGAGCTTCACCTTTTTCCAGGCCCCTAATCTTCATCATCAACATCATCAGGCAGGTGAAGGCAACAAATCACAGAGTTATCTGAGGAAAATAGCATACTCTGATTTTTGGCAATCCTGACCGATGGCAAAGTCAGTACGTTTCTGACTTCTCAGTTGCTGTACTTAGTTTCCTTCCTGCTCGTATCAAGCTCAGGAAAATGTGATCAGTACTCCTTCCGTCATCTTTATTGATCAGATACGGCTACCACTGGCTGTGAAAAAAGGAAGGGTGGGCCCTTGCAAAATTTCTTCTCACCACTGTTCCCTCAAGAGTGAGGCAACAGATCTGGAATATGAGAAAAACACAAAAACCTTTACTGCAGCAGTAAAACCAAAAAGAAATGCACAAAGGGCACCCTGCAAACACTCTTTCTCACTGCTATTATTTCAGCACTAGCTTGCTTGCCAGTGTTCTGAGATAATGAAACGTAAACAGATTAGATAAAGTCTGGATCTCCTTTCATTAAATGCTTAATCACTTAGCTCATTTCCATGAGTTGTCATGAATTTAGTCTCAACTTCTTTCCTTTTCTCCTTAACCACTTTTTTGAAGAGTAATCTACAGTTCCTAAGAATGATCACGTTGATGTTTCCCCATGAGGACAAATAAACAGCCCACAAAATACATTTGGGTGGTTTAAAATTTTGAACCCAGATCTCTATCTTTTCTTATTTCTAAACAATGTCACAAAGATGCAGTTTGCTTGTTATATTTCCTAATTACTAACAATGAATCATTTTACTCTAACCCACTTATAGATTTCCTATTTTGTTGCTACATTCATGTTTTCTACTTTATACATCTTTTATTATGGTAAGAATTTGAATTTACAATGAATATAAAAGCCATCTGCCTTTAAGTATGCATAATAATAAAAAATAGGCCCCCAAATTACCCAACAACATGGGCAGCTATGATTTCTTTTATAGCATTTGCAAAGTGTATCTGTCTTTCATCAAGACCTGTTTCTCTATTGTTTGGGACGAATGTGACTCTTACTTGAAAGCCACATTTTAAATTGTTTACAATGTATTTTGTTAAGTGAACTAAATTAAATTTCACATTCACCAATTATATTTCTCATCTGTAACCATTTACAAGAATCTTCAAGTAAGAAGTGTTTTAAACATTATACACAACTCAGATATTTTTAAAGGTACTATAAATTTTATGTTAGATATGTCACTAAACAGATTCGAATTTTCATTTCTGAATACTTAGATAAAAACATTATTTGGAGAATCACCTAATTTAAAAGAATGAGAACTAAGAAGAATGTAATTTCACACTAATTAGAATATATGTGCTCAGGAAGACCCAGCAAGAAAGTGGAAGCCCTTAAAATTGTAGATTCTCTTTAGATGTTAGAAAGGGGGAGAAACGCAAATTTTAAAATGAAGTTTCCATGTAAGTGATTAATTTTTCTCATGCATATGTCAGTTTGTTTCCTTACAGGCAAGGCCCTCTACATTTCAAAGACATCATCAAGAACTGTTTTCTCACCATGAGATGACTACCAAACTCTCAAAGAGAAGTTGAAAAGACTTTAAAAGGAAAAGGAAGTGAAAGGCACATTCTTGAGCACTTTTTAATCACTGTAACTGGGTCATTTCATATAAGCATCCAGCTTGCAGCTTTCTTCCCTAAGTTTCTGAAAAAAACAATGTGTTAACCCGACAAACGAAAATGTCAGACAGTGAATTCACTTCAGCGAAAAAACTGGGGAGACCGATTTGGTGAAAATTGATAACTCCTCACAAAAGTTTAAAAGTAGCAACCAAATGCTGACGTTAGAAAAAAGCATACCCTAGGCAAATGAATTCGTAGAGTAGCAGATCTAGTGAGCAGAATTCCCTGGGCAACAGGGAAACTTGCAAAGCCCCCAACACCATCAGATTCAGTGCTTTCCCAAGAAATCATTTCAGAATGGAGAGGGTAAAAAACTTTCCCAGCCCCCCAAGCCCTGAGTTGTACAACCGTATCTCACCACTAGGTGGCGGCTGCAAAGGATGCTAGCGGAGGGGGCGAGAGGCGGGGGTGCTGTTTTCTCTCTTCTTGCCCTACAGGACGCACTGCCCAGTTCAGGGGAGAGCCTACCGGCCCCAACCTGGATCCGCTTGAATAAAATGTCAGGTTAGGAAAAAAGAAAAATATCTCAGACCTTAGAACCTAAGTCACCAAGTAACAGCCTCTCCTACAACTCTGTTCACACAAAAGCTGAGCATGGTGAGGACGAACCTACGCATTTTAAACTCTGTTGGGGTTTCAATGCCAACCTTCCAGGCGGTTGCTTTAGAGCGACAAATGAGAACGAAATTAAGACGTGAACGCTGGGATGAGTTGCTGGGCTGCATATCACCCACCCGCACTGCGTGTACAGAGCCACAAGATGATGGAACCGGCTGGATAAACATGAATCGTTTTATTGCTGGCCAGAAATTCTTCCTTCATTCATCAAAGTGGGTGAATGAAAATATTAATAAGTAAGTAAGGCATTTTCGTGGGCTGCTTCCCGAGTATACTTCTGCAGTCAAAACCTTACTTAGGCTGCCTTCTACCTTGGGGGGTTAAATAAAGCCTCCTCCCATGAAAGGGAAAAACCACTTCCCCTTTTTATAAAAAGATTACACGCCAGAGCTCAAATCTTGGCAAAAGAGATGTTACATAAATTCCAGGTGTTCTTAAATATGTGTGTTTATATGCACACAATCATTTTAGGAAGCATCTAAGTTTCTGGGCCACTTTTTTTTTTCCATCTCAAGGAACAGTCAAAACGTGTGTTTACAGGTCTGACTTAAGATCCTACCCATTCCATTCACATATTTCCTGCCAGCTAAATGCAGGAAATGTAATGATTCGCACTCAAAGTGCATATAAGCGGCACACTCAGCTTCTTTTTCTTAACTGAGACAAAATCAAAATTCAGTCATCTCCCGCCCGCCCCCCGCCGCCATCCCCAAAGCGAAAAAACCCACTTCTAAAATCCTGAATTATTTCCTAAGTGATTTGTACAGCCATTCTCTCGTTATTCTACAAACAGACTAATTCCTCAACATCTTACTCTGCCTGTAAAAGGCTTCCTTCCACACGACGGGATTTCCCTAAGAAACATTCCCAGCGGATGGTTTCCAGCAATAGCTTATATCAACTCAGCCTGCGCAAGCAAAGGCTTGGCTTCTGCTAATCCCCCCCAACACACACCAATTCACACCATAGAACCATCCCAGGCCGACTCGAAAAGCTATTTTATTTGCACGTTTGCCCGTCGTTTCCTGAATGAACGTTTTTCCAGCTGACCTTTCAACAGCTGCCGAGATGGCATGGTCTCTAAAGGGATAGCTGGCAACTAGGGGATATTTTAGCATCCTAATCCCTGCAACCTCGACGTTTCTCCTTCTCTACCCAAGTCCAGATTCTCTGAGCCTGCAGCGTCTGCAGAGCAGCCCTCCGAGGTGTCCTGCTAGCGACCAACTCACTGCGGGCATCCTGCTAACGCACAGCCCCAGCCTCCACGCCGCCCGACACCCGCACCCTGGCCCGCGGCGAATGCGCCAGGCAAGCACCAGCCCTGTCTCTTACCTTCCCTGGCTTTCAGCAAGACCGTGTTGGCCACGATGTTTTCCAGCTCCATTGACAGCCGGCGGTCAGCGAGGAAGCCTGCCGGCGGGGCTGTCAACGCCTGGGAGTGCTACCGGGGCTGCCGCCGCTCGGGCCGCCGCCGCTGCTGCCGGAGCCGGGAGCCGGGAGCAAGCAGCCCGCCTTGCTACCGCATTATTCCTGCTCTTATACCTCGGAGTTTTCCCCTCTGCAAAGAGGATCCGCCGC